CAGTGATCCGCCTATCCGTGATTCTACCCACACCCTCCTCTCGGCTCTGCTGAGTCCCTTCCCGTTTCCCTCCAGAACTCCCACGGCCCCAGAAGGGCTCCCCTTTGGGCCCTGCTTAGGGAGGACTTGGGGTCCGGGCCTGTCCCCCGTGATGGCTCGAGAGAAGACCTGAGGACCTTGCCCTGCTCACCTCTTTCCATTTTGAGTAATAAATGCCTGTGTCTGTGTCTGATAAGTCGTGCATTTATTGTCAGGAGACCTGTTCTCAGAGCCCCCCCCCCCCCATCTCAGAAATAACCCTCTCAGCCCCCACCCTTCCCCAGACCCTTCAGGGAGTTTCCCTGGCAGCGGGGCTGGGGCAAATGGAGAAACAGGTTTTTCCGGCATCCACCCTCCCTTCCAGTATGGGGGTGGCACACAGGTCCCAGTGTTTGGAGACAATCCTTATCTCAAACGTAGGTCACACCTCTGAGGGACTGCCAAGAAGGAGGTGCAGCCCGGCTTGAGGGCTCCCCAAAAAGGGTAGGAAAATCGCATGGGGATGGGACCCAGGACCCTCTTTGCAGGTGTCAGTCCCAAGGTTAGTCAGAGGCCTCACCTGGCCGGTTACTAAGTGGGGCACCGAGTGAGCCTCCTATCACAGGCTTCCATCTATTTCCTCTCTCAGTTCGAGAGTCCTATTGGGAGCCAAGCTGCAAACAGGGGAAAGGAGAACAACCCAGACAAACGGGTTCATTGATTCTGTGAGCCCCACTCAGCCCAGCGCCTGCTCCCCTGGGTGATCCTCGTTGCTAAGGAAGGTTCTCCCTAGCAACAAGGTTCAGGGGTAACTTAGGGCAGCTTCTCCATTGTCCTCCGTGGTTGGGTCGGATAAGGAGTGCATCATCATAACCCTGAAACTAGGCCTAACATCGACAAGAGAGAGATGGAATTTTCCAGTCAGCTCTAGAGTGGTCGATAGATTTTTTAAAAATATATATATATCTTTACTGATTTCAGAGAGGGAGAGATAGGTAGAAACATCAATAATGAGAGAGAATCATTGATTGGCTGCCTCCTGCACGCCGCCTACTGGGGATCAAGCCCACAACCCGGGCATGTGCCCTTGACAGGAATCGAACCTGGGACCCTTCCGTCCGCAGGCTGATGCTCTATCCACTGAGCCAAACCAGCGAGGGCTGGTTGATAGATTTTAATGGCTCACAGAGGAGTGTGTGTCTTCTCACCTCAGATCTCCTTCATTCCCTTGCTCCCTTCTGGTCTTCTAGTCCCACTACCCTCTCCACAGTCCTGGTAAGACCCAGGCCAGGGCGCTGTGTGCTGCAGCCAAGAAGCAGGCCGGGGCCACAGTTCTCGCCACAGCGCTGCCGCGCAGGCCTCCGGTGCAGCCCTGTGGGCGGTGTGAGTCCCTCCAACTTTGTTTCCACTTCATTGCAATGATGTGCTGTGGACAGGCTGGCCGGTGATGGCTGCCGAGGCTGAGAGAGACGGAGGCAGAGGTGTCAGCCTCCTGGCTGGAGGACTTGCCTTCGGGGGCAGAGCAGATGGGATTTCAAGGAGCACAGAGGGATTCTCTGCTCCCTCAGAAAACACCTCCCTAAAACCAAGTGATCAAAGTTATCACACTGGCATTGTGACCCCCTGTGTGCTGCACTGCAAAGACCAACATCATGTCTGTGCTATTCTTGCCAAGAGCTCATGAGCTCAATCTAATTGTGTGAAAATACCAGATAAAGCCGGCATGACTCAGTGGTTGGGCATCGACCTATGAACCAGGAGGTCACGGTTCCGTTCTGGGTCAGAGCACAATGATGGGGTTGTGGGCTCCATCCCCAGTGTCGGGTGTACAGGAGGCAGCCGATCAAGGATTCTCATCATTGATGTTTCTCTCCCTCCCTCCCTCTCCCTTTCTCTCTAAAATCAATAAAAATATTTTTAAAAAGTAAAATAACTTACCAGGACTCTTCAAAAGTTTCAAGGTCAAGGAAGACAAAGACTCAGAACTGTCACAGATTGGGGGCAGTTAAAAAGACACGAGAGTGCCGAAACCGGTTTGGCTCAGTGGATAGAGCGTCAGCCTGCGGACTGAAAGGTCCCAGGTTCGATTCCGGTCAAGGGCATGTACCTGGGTTGCAAGCACTGCAGGAGGCAGCTGATCGATGTTTCTCTCTCATCGATGTTTCTAACTCTCTATCTCTCTCCCTTCCTCTCTGTAAAAAATCAATAAAATATATTTGAAAAAAAATAAAAAGACACGAGAGCCAAAGGCAATGTGGGCTTCTGGGATGGGCCCTGGAGCAACTGGCTAAATCAAGTAAGGCCTGCAGGCCAGTCAGAAGTGCTGCACCGGTGTTACTTTCTGGTTTTGTACAGTTGGCCCTTGAACAATAAGGGTTTAAACTTATATAAAGATCCCCCCCCCATAAATATACAGTTGGTCCTCCTTTTCTGGGTTTCACATCTACAGATCCAACCAAGTGCAGGCTGAAAACAGGGCCGACTAGTGTATATGCATTGTTCTGTGCCATTTTATTTATTTATTTTATTTTTAATGCCATTTTCTATAAGGGACTTGAGTGTGGGGGATTTTGGTATCTGCAAGGGGGTGGGGGTGGTGTTCTGGAAACAATCCCCCTCAGATACCAAGGGACACTTGTAGGTCGTTTTGGGGGAGTCACAAGTTATACACAGACTTTGACTGAGCGGATGTGGCACCTCTGACCCCTACGTGTGCAAGGCCAGCTGTGCTCTGGTTGTGAGATGTCACATCAGAGGTAGCGGGGAAGGGCACACAGGCATTCTCTGTACTGTTGTTACAGCTTTTCTGTCAATCTAAAGTCATTTCAGAACAAAAATGTAAACACACACACACCTCCCTGGTCCTTAGCTGATGTTGGAAAGTTGAAGTCTGGTTTAATATTTTGGTCCCTGTTTTCAAGGGACTGAGGTTTTCTAACCGTGTGCGTGTTCCAATTATCTATAGGAACATATGCACAGGTGACCCAGAGCGCCTCATTTGGATATACCAATACAGACGTCAAAGGGTACTTACTATTCATTAATATGGCCGAGTTTAACCAAAAACTAAGAAGAGAGAAGACACAGGGGATAAGCAATGCAAGAAATCACACAGGTTTATTTACCAGAGAGCTGATGGGCTTCAGTCCTTGGCAGGCCACCCGGAGACACTCGCCGACAGAGACACACAGAGGTCGACTAATACGCCGCGGCAAGGAGCTCGGTCTCTTGACTCGAAGAGAGGCCTCTTAACAGTCTGGGCTCAAAGGCAGAGCAGGAATGGCAGTTTGGCAGTTTGGCGGTTTGGCAGTTTCCGGGGGGAGGAGAACGGTTGTCTGTGGAGGTCAGACAGACGTCTGTCTGCTGCTGTGAGAGTCCTTTTATACCCCACGGGTGGGTGTCTTCAGTGTCTCATATCAGTGTGCTCCGGTGGCCTTCTGGGCTTATCAGGATACACACGCAGGGGGTTACAAGGTACTTATCAGGGGTGCACACGCAGGGAGTGGTTGGTCAGGAGTTACAAGTTATTTGTCAGGAGTTAACATGCAGGGCATTACAAGTTATTTATCAGGGTCTCACACACACACACACACACAAATTAAGTTCCTCTTCTAAGTAAAGTTTAAAATTCACTCCAATAAAAAAAATGAAATTTGATTATACTATCTTATACTAACTAAACTTATTACTATAACATTGCGTGAGTGGATCTATGAGGTTCTGGAGAGCAAAGAGGGGGCAGGTGGACACACGGGCAGCAGACAGGGCGTCCTGAGGGGCTCAGTGCCAGGAGCACAGAAGGAGCTACGACAGCTCAGACCCAGCCTGACCCTGGAAGGTCTGCCCGCAGGAAAGCGCTGTGGGGGAGGGGGAACCAGGACTCGAGTTCCCAGACAGCGTGCTCCGCCGCGGGGCTAGTTGGGGTTTGCCAATGCCATGGATGCACAGGAGGCCCTCACCATAGGTGTCCCGGCTTTGCCTGGGGCACTGCAGTCAGAGCAGGTGCGGTGTCCTGGCCCAGAGAGGAGGCGCTGGACCTGGGCAGAGGGCCACCAGCCTGTGTGGCAGGGGCCTTGGCTGCCTTCTCACCCAGGGCAGCCCCACAAGGAGGGGGTTCACTGTGTCTGTGCCTCCCACACCCACCCTGCCCTGCCAGCCTTACAACCCTTGCCCTGGGCTTTATAGGCAATGAAAAGGGAGGCCAGAGTCTCCCTCAGCTGGCACTGGGCACCCAAAGCGGCACCCAACAAGACCGAGTGTGGAAGTAGTTGCGAAAGCCCAGCCATCTTTGTTCACAAAAACATGTTTGGCTTACATGTGGCAGGTTTATTGTTCTAATTTTTAAGTGAACCTATTTAAAATGTTCTGTTTTGATTTCTAATAGAGTAAATGTTACTATAACTCACTACGAAAGGCTCTTGGGGTCTTCAGTAACTTTTGAGAGTGTGAAGAGGGCCTGAGGCAAGGAGACCCCCAATACTGCTGCTCTGAGCAGAGCTGTGCCTCCACGCCCGCCCCACCCAGTCCTGTCCTCCTGGGATAGTCCTGCCTGGTTCTGCAGCTGGCTGTCCCCTCCGGTCTCTCTAACCCCTGTCTTCCAGACGCTGCCCCTGCCCCCGCCCCCAAACCCCATCCCCCTGCACCTCTTCCTAGTCTCCATGGCCCCCCTCACTGACCTACCACAGTGGAGACACATCAGACCCTCTGACCTCACGTGTAACTCCGGTAGCAAAGCTGGGAGAGATCATTATGGGGTAGGGATGCTGGGCTTGAAGGGATCTGAAGGGCCTCCCTGAAGCATCTGGGTTTTGTGTTTGGGGTGGAAGGGAGGTTGTTGATCCCACACTTAATGGATCTGGGCCAAGGCTGTTTGGAGGGTGACCCTGAGAGCATTAGTGCAGAGAAGGGGAAAAGAGAAAGCCGAGACAAGGAGACGAGCTGAGAGAGCAGAAAACAGCTTGAGACAAGCAGGGGGGCGGGGGGGTAAGGAAGAGGACTAGGAGGGAAGGTGACAGACACAACTCCGGAGCTCAGAGCAGCTGAGAGAACAGAGGGCAGGCTTCTGCAGGGCCAGGGAGGTGTGGGGTGCAGGAGCAGAGGCCCGCTGCTCAGGCTGGTGAATGTGGGCTGGTTCCACCGCTCCCACCCGCTCGCTCCCTAGGTGTGTTTGTTTACTGGTTCCTCCCAGTCTCAGATGCTCCTGCTCTCCAACCTGGGGCACTCAGGTGCAGTCACAGTCTCCCGGACTCCTGGGCCCTGGACCCAGCCATGGGCACCTCCAGTGCCGTCCTCTGCATCCTGTTCTTCTGTGGGGCGCTGGGTAAGGGTAGGTTGGGGGTCCTCTGGGGCAGCGGGCGGGGTTCATGGAAAAGCCTGAGGGCTGGGGAGGGGGTCTGAGAGATGCCAAGGAGAGTTGTAGGAGTTTAGAAAGAGGAGCTACCGGGGGTGGCCTCAGGCCAGCCTGGCAAGGTCCCTCGGAAGGCACTGGAGATCGACCGTCTTCCCCGTGGCATCTGCACGAGCCTCTGTCCCCCGTCCCTATCTCACCTCTTGCTCCTTCGCTGGGCTCCTTGGTAAATGCCAATTCCGATGTTTTCATCTGTCCTGGCACCACCGCTAAACTTCCTCACTGCCGCCTCCCACCCTGGCTTCTGTCATTCTCTAAGTTCATCTCCGATTCTCTTGGCTTCTGTTCACGGCTGTGTCTTCCTCTTTCCCTGTAACCTCTCCCATGGTGCCGTGTCTCCTTTCCTACTTCTGTCTGCTCCCTTTCAGC